TATGTGTAATTGTAGTGATTATACCAAAGTTAATGTATAAGCACTTGTGTTCTCTTTTGCCCTATGGGTACTTGCATGCCACACCTTCTACATTTAAAAAACAAATTGCATTACAGCAGTACAAATTCTTAGGTCACTGTTCTCAAAATGGTTTCAGATTAGTATTTTTTAGGTATCTGTGGACTTTTGTTTCTGAAACATAGTCTCATGTAGGCCAAGCTGGCTTTGAACTTGCTATGTAGCCAAGGTTGACATCTGCCTTTCTAGTGCTATGCCATAAGCACACATGTCCACGCCCTGCTTTCTTGCACTGACTCCCTGATGAATCTTTAAAACACTGATTTTGAAAACGCAGGAAGTATCTTTGTTTCTGTGGATACAGATTCATTGTGTATCCCAGGCTGGCATGAGCTCTCTGTGTGGCACTGGGCTGGCCTCCAATTGATATCCTTCCTCAGAATTCGGAGTGCTGTGGTTATAGACATTATCTACCATGTCTGGCTATGTTTGAGACTTAAAATACATTATTTAGAGTCTAGTTAGCTAAACACTTATTTCTATTTTGTAGCTTAAGAAATTTGAAATATGTTCAAAATACTTCTTTTTGTTTTTAAGAAATTAAGCCAGGGCATGACATCTATAGCCCTAGAGTGCTAGAAGTGGAAGCAGGTGAATCATGGAAGGTTTAAGACCAGCAGGTTTGTTTACGTAGTGAGTGCAGGCCAACTGGGGCTATTTAGCAAGCCCTGTCTCAAACCTACCCTCTTTCTCAATGTAAAAGGACCCATTGCTGCTGATTTGTGACCATATGATTCCTTAGATGGACATTCCCATTCATCCCTTCTCTTGGTTGCCGTTTACAACGGTAGTGGCATTGCCCGAGTTCCTCCTATTTTTTTTTTCTTTTTAAAACCCAAACCAGGGAGGTAGAAATGCATACATTTTACTTTTTTCCAATTCTTGTTCACCTCTGGTTTTCTGCTTTTTATGTTGCTGATAAAATTATTCTGATGGTCTATAAAACTCGGTTTTCTAATTTGCCTTTAGATATGTCAGATCCCTACTATCAGAAAAGTTCAAAAATCAATGATGGGTAGAACACTTCCAAATAATATTTAATAAGCTTTTTTTTTGAACTGAAATCACCTGTACCTCCTCCAACTGAAGGTCAATTTGCAAAACTGAGGATTGATGCAGAAGTTATTTAGACAGAAAGATTTTCTTGTACTGTTGAGTTAATGTATGCCAAGCAGGTATTTGCTGGCCTGCCATCTAAAAAATTGGGTTCTGATAATCGGATAGAGCCCAATTGTTATTTCAGTTTTAAGCCAACAAAACTTGTAATGTTTCTGTTGTTCAATAATCTTCACAGTACTTAGGGAATAAACAAAGTTGGATGAATTTTTTTGTTCTGTTAAAGCGTATCACCTTCCTTCTAGAGTTTCATGTATGGGTCAGGACATTGATTGGAGATGATTTACTGTGAAAATGTTTCAGATCAGTGTAATACTAAACTTATAGGGTGTGTTTATCTGTTAGTTACAATATATTATAGTTACATTTAAAAATATTCATTGGGTTGTTAAGGATTTCATATTAGCTTGGATGTGTAATATTTAGGCCAGATACTAGTATTTAAACTCAAAGATTAATACATTATTTAATTTTACTTTCCTATATCTCTGATAGGCTCTTTTAATTCTTTTCTGTTTTAGTACTGGGCATTGAACCCAGACCTCCTTCATGCCAAACAAACATTCTACCAATGAGCTACATTTCTAGCTCTCCTTGATTTATTTATTTATTTTTAAATTTTGAGATAGGCTCTCATTAAGCTACCTAAGCTAGCCTCAGGATCATTTTCCTGCCTCAGCCTCCTTTTGAGGTGTGAGTACATCTCTGAAGCTCTTCTTACTTTTTATTCACAAAAATATTTCTATTGGGGGTGGGGGGAGAGAGGAGTGTTTCAAGACAGAGTTTCTCTGTGTAGCTCTGGCAGTCCTAGAACTAGCTCTGTAGGCCAGGCTGCCCTCAAACTCAAAGAGATCCTCCTACCAAGCGCTGCGATTAAAGTGGGTTTTGTGGTGTGCCTACACAGCCACAAAAATAATTTTAATGCTTCACATCAATTGTCATATTAGTAAATGTATATTACATTGATTATATTAAAGACATGTTGTATCTTGCTTGTGACTTTAGCCATACATTTTTTGATTCAATTCTATACACAGTGAAAGCTTTTGATATTTTTATTTTGCAATAGGTATCATCAATTAAGCATGTATGTCTTTGTCCTCAAATACCTACGTTTGATTAGTATAAATTAATTTGAAAAAGGAGAGGGAGAAATGTTTATTTAGGGCAAGTAGTGATTGTAGTGGGTTTTCCTGTTGAACTTAAACCTTGCTTTGCACTGTCTCCTCACCTAACAGTTGAACTGTCCAGCTGCCTCTGTTCCCTCGCCTTCTGTCTGATGCACACAGCTGCCCCTTCTGTGCACTCTCCTCTCACCACTCATGCTACCTTCCCATTCTCTGACGTTGGTAGGACATTAGTTTCCCTGGTCTGGTGGTGGTTCTGGCTTCTAATCCTTATCGCCTATAACTCCAAGTAAACATTTGTAAAACACCCTAGGCTCTTGACTTCCCAGTTTACAAAGGCAAAACAATTTTCATTGCCTTTATGATAAAATCCAGAGTTTTTTCTTTCTGTTTTCACTGCTTACCTGTGATCTTTGGCAGTTCTGTCCTTTCCAGATGGTCATGGGCTCTTGAGATCCTGCCCCTGGTCAACCCTTTCAGTATTCAAACGTATCAGTTGTTGTTCACACTCTTCTTCCTGTTAGGTTCATACACTTGAAGGAATAGCTCAAGTTCTATACCCTTTCTTCAAAATCTTCAAAACTCACCTGAAATGGTACCCTCTCAGCTCTTCATGTCTCCTTCTGACTTTTAACCCATCCATCCATCCATTCATGGATAACCTATGGTTTTATACTATTTATCATCCACTTGCTTTGGTTATTATATCCCTCGCTATCTGGAACACCCCATGACAGAAAACTTCTCAGCATAGCTTGTGCTTAACATTTTTTTTCAGTATTGATAGTGATTAACTGTGTCTGTCTCACTTTTAAGGATGTTTTCTATAATTAACTAGTTAAGGATGTTTTCTATAATTAACTAGTTACAATGTGTGATTGTAACATCATTTCCAACAAATACCTACCGGCCTCTAAAGTTCTTCAGTGTTTATAAGCATACATTCCATAACCAATAGCATAGATGATCCTGTTTGAGCCTGTGCTAACAAGTTAATTGAATGCCTTGTGACAGATGCTGTGCTTGTTGACTGTGTGACTGGGAGACCCTTAGCTACTCTACCTATATGGTTTCCCCTTAGGACAGGAGGGGAAAGGATGACCTCAAGGGAGCAGTCATGTGCAGACTTCCACTGAATCTCCACAGCTGTAATAATAGTCTACTGGGAGGCCCGTAGGAACAGCTCCTTTCTAATTTGAATTTTCATGTGATAAACTTTGAGATATAGGATAGCAGTGCTGATGTGAGTGTGTGGGCCAAGGAGTAGGATCCAGAATCAGCTTTTTAAAATTAGATGTTACAGGGCTGGAGAGATTGCTCAGTGGTTAAGACCACTGACAGCTCTTCTGGAGAGCTCAGATTAAAGCACCCGCATAGTGCCTTACAACCTTCTGTAACTACCATTTGAGGGATCTGATACCCTATTCTGGCTGATGTGGGCAGCAGCACCTATGCAGTGCGCAGACATACATATAGGCAAAAACAGCCATATGTAGGGAAATCAGACATCACACAGGTAACGGTTCAGCCATGCCTCCAGTTGCCAAGCCTTTCAGGGTCTGGCACTTCCCTCGGCTTGCTTCTGACTGCCGCTTTCTTGCCATGCTTCTGCACATAAAGCTAAGCAGCAGCCTTAGAGCTTTTGATTTTCCATCTTTGATGGTGCTTTCTTTGTCCTTGTGGAGTTGAACCTTTATAGCCTTTTATTGGCATTTTAGTCACGTTTTTGAGAGAAAACCACAGTAATAGTATGATCACTGTTATTTTTACTGGGAAGTCCTACCTAGTGCCTTTTAAATTTTGATTATTTTTTACAAGTAAATCTAGAGGACAAGTGTGGAGCACAGTCTCCATGCCTGTGCCATCCCTACCATGCTAGTCCTGCTAGCATTTTGGACTGTCTGAGAGATCACAAGCTATGGCATATTTTAAGTTACTAAGTAATTTGCTTTTATAAGCTTTTTAATATAAAAGGTCAAAAATACTTTATTGCTATAATACTATCTCACAGTATTTAGTGTTATTATTTTATTGCTGAATAATGCTTTCGTTTTTCTGTGAATGTCCATTCATTTAATACAAAGAGTCTAAGGAGATATTATGTTCTTTCCATTTTGTATACCAGGAAACTGAGGGACAGTTAGTTTACCTGGGGCCCGAGGACTTGCCTCAATGAGTAAGATGCCTTGCCATGTTACTATGCAAGCATGAGGTTTCTAACATCTACATAAAACCTGGGTGTGACTGAGCCCTGTAACTCCAGAGGTGGGTGGAGAACTGGTCACTGTGACTTGGCGGTCTGCCAGCCCAGTGGGAGGGATACACATAAGAAGGATGCACCAGCTACAAGGTCAGTGAGAGACCCTGTCTCAAGATAATAGGGCCCAGTGTTAGAACAGGATTTCTGATGTCCTCTTCTGGCCTTCTGAGGCACACACATGGCTGCACACATAGACACACACACACACACACACTAGATAGCGAAACTTGTTCAGAGTCATGACAAATAGTTGATAATGTCAGGACTTAATTTCTGGCCTGTGGGCCACTCCTCAGCATGGAACTGTCATGCTGTTCAGGTTTTCTTGGCACAGGCAAAATGCTTATATTCCCAGTTGATATTATAAATTTTGGATGGGCATTATGGCTCTCGAAAATAGTACACTTAAACTATCCTGGTCAAATTGGGAAAATCATTATTTTGTATTTGGTTGATCAAAACTGATATTATGTTTTTGAAGGTGCTTAGTTTTCATCATGTAAATATACTTCCATCCCTTTTCCTCAGCTTTTTCTTCCTTTACTCCTAAACCATCTTTTTTCTTCCCTTCTCTTTGATCTTCTTGATTTCACCTTTTAGATCATCATCAACATTTTAATTTTTTCCAATTTATAAGAAAGGAAGCTGTTCTGTTTCTGTGAGTTTTTCTGTTCTAAGAGGTTGGTGAAATAATCATTAGCAATAGTGCAGCACCACTTTATAGATGCACAGGGATTTCCCAGAACTGAAGAAGGATCTGCGTACGGGCTGCTGAGCTCCACGTTTCTTTAAGACTTGGCTTTCTGGGACTTGCCCTGTGGCCCTTGTTTACAGTTGCAGTGTTCTTGCTTGAAGATTCACTTTCAAAACACTGCAAGAATGAAGCTTAAATTTATTGTGAGCTTCGTAAATCATTGGATGAAAATCTAGCCGGGTTCTCATTCTGAAGGTGGATGTAGGAATTTTTATTGTTGAATGCTTAATTTATCTTTTGAAATTGTTACAAATTTTATAAAAATAAATAATTTGGCTTCAGCCACAAGGTTGGCATTATCCGACCTCTTCACCTTTGACTAATCTTTTTCTTTAAAACATTTCAAAATATTATTGCAGTGAGTGCATGGGTGTACTCCCATAATCCCAGCACTTATTTGTAAGGCTAAGCCAGCAGCATTTTATGGCTAGCCCAGGCTAGGTGACACCACCTCTCAAAAAAACCATCCATGCAAACAACCAAAGGATTAAAACACAAACAAGAGCACACAACAATAGCAAAGCCCCCAGTGGTTGCCCAGCTTCTAGAATCCATTGTTTGCTCCAGTCTCTTCCTCATTCTTCCCTGGAATATAGTATTGTCACTGTCTTTCTTTGACTAATTCTCATGACACTTATGTCTGTCATTGAGATGCCTCTATTTTGTAGAATGCCCTTAAAGATACATGCTGCCTCACCGATGTGAATTTCCTTTCCTCCAGTTTCTCTCAGTATTTAACTCCTGTTTCACAGTGTAACACTGTGAAGGGCAAGAAGGGCACTGCAGACAAGTTATGTATGGAAAAAGTAAAGGTAGATTCTTCATACATACACATACACTCTTTAAATTATCCCATATCTGGTAGGTAATTGTTGATTTTATTTCATCACTATGAGAATATAAACTTGTTTTCACAATAATTTGTAATTAGGAATTTCATTAAAAGTGAATTAAGACATGAATATGTATGAAGAAATTAGATGTTCTAACCATGAATATATGGCATCCCAGTGACTTGAGTGAATTACAGACTTTACTCATTTCTGGGCCATTTGTTTTATATATAGATTAAATGCAGATAATTATTCATTTGACAGGTTATTTTATTACTTTGATATATCTCAAAGTACCATGTGTAGTTATGGGGTGATTTTTGTAATAATTTGATTCATTAATAACTAAAATTATCATTTTATATGAATTCAGGTTTGAAAGTTGGAATTTGGATTTGTTTAAAGTCAGTTGTGCTGACTTTTTTTGGCTTAATAATGTACTTTTGAGATTGTAGGTTTTAGTAACTTTTAAGTTTGCATATTAAACATAAAAGTCTATTCTAAAGTCAAACTGGAAATTATTAGCTTCTGTGAGGAAGCACAAATGTAATTTATACTTGCATTTAACTTACTACATTACATTGATGTCTTAAGTTTAAGATACAATTTTAGTGTCTATAGATCCTTTAGTCACATCCGGAGAGCATCTAAATGTTTGATAATTGTTCTCCTACTTACTCTAACACTTCTGAAGTACTACATGGCTTATGGGTAATAAGTGGTTAATTTTTTTTAGACAGTATTTGAGAACTTGTTAAGATTTATTTAAGCAAAGAAATAAAATTAAAAGTTCTTAATCTAATGTCATGTTTGAATGCCCATTTTTTAAGTTTTGTTTGGTTTTCCAGTAAAGATTGTCCAATTCTGACTCAAAGTCCGTCTTAGCTGCTCTCCTAGGTTGTCGCAGGAAAGCACATCTCTTCTGTCTATGTAATGCATTTTATTTAATTTTATAGTTTTTATGATACCATATATTAGAGATTGCCAAAAATATAGAAAAATTTTAGAGAACATTTTTGGTTTTGATGGATTACCACTCTTGAAAGGGAAACAAAACACTAAATATTTCTAATCCTGCATTATTTACCGCATGGGTGGCTAAATGCTACTTTCAGCCTCATAAAATTAAAAGGGAGAAATCTGCCAACTGTAGCAGGAATTGGATTTAGGAAGAGTGGTACAGAGCCAAAATATTGCTACAGAATTAAATGTCAAAAATCTTCTTTAATAGTAGATATATAGGTCACAGTGCTTGGTTATGATTAATACATTTAATCTAAATCACTGAAAGTTGCACTCTCCTTTTCCATAAAATACAATAGGACACAAATCAGTTTTACTGTAGATGGATAACAATTGGAAAATAATGCATCTTCCCGCCCAATAAATTGTCAGTTATACCTTTTAACTAAAATCAATTCATCATTCCAAAATTTATTGCAATTTCTAATAATAAATCTCCTCAAATGTTTATTCATTTGGCTTTTGATACATTTGTGCCATTTTTGCTATGGTCTAATGTTTTCTCTTTTGATTCATTGTAAATTAGAAAATCTATTTTGAGTCAATTTTCTAGTGAGGAAGTTAAAATCTATAACCTCGTACCTTTGTCACTCTCCTGTGTACATTTTAATACCCTTGAACTTGAACTTAAATGCAGTCCCATCAATTCTTTTCACTAGGAGATTAAAAGACTTTTCAATGTAACTTCTCCAGTAAGGTTGAGATTTCATAAAAACGAGTACATAGAAAGTTGTTAGCTGATAGCTGCCATTGATTCATTTTGAATCAAGGGTAGAGATACAGAGGTCCATGGGGGTTATGCCATCATTTCATGTAAGTGTTCACAAGGAGAACACAAGAAAATATCTATTTGAATTCGGGTCAAAAACTGATCATAATTGAAACCTACTTCTCAACAGCATTAACTTGAAAGTGGCATTCCAAGTAAGCAAAGCTAGCTGTATCCAAACCCAGATCTTATATTGAGGTCTGCTCATTAATTCTGATTTCTACTTTAACTATAAATTTTTATTTTGTAAATGTGTGTTTGTATATTGCTGCTTCATAATCTTTCCTAAGCCTATGAAATCATCTGGTTGTCCTTATGAAATATATGCATCCTAAGCCTATGAAATCATCTTGTTTTCCTTATAAAATACATACATCCCAAGCCTGTGAAATCATCTGGTTGTCCTTATGAAATACATCCCTAGACTATGGTGATTATCTTCAGAAATTCATTATGTAATGTATGAACATTTTCCATCTTTGTTGTTTTACGTTACACTGTGGTGCATTTTTTCCTGACAGTGTGCAGTGCACACTAACGGTAATAACTTGATTTTAGACTGTCTTCATTTATTTCACACTGGACTCAGTTGGGCGGCCCTTTGTTCTCATCAGCACTCCCACCCACTGTGCTTTCATATAGAACCTAAGATTGAAAGCAGGGATTAGCTTCTTTCTCACTAATTTAATGAAAATGCATCTATAATCATCATGTCCTGGGGCTGAGTGTCAGCTCTAAACTCTTAAACTAAACTCTTCTATAGAATTGTCCAGGAATGAAGATGACATTAACTAATTTGACTGAAATCCATAATTTACTGGCAGTTCTATGTAGTGTAACCATAGAAGATGATACATGACTAATGTGGCCACTAAAGAACAATGGTTGTGTGCTCAGAGCAGCCTTCAGAGAGTTCAGTATTTTCACTAGCTCCATGTTAACATGAATTTCTACTACACAGGTCAGACTTTACTTGCAAGTCTTTTTTTTTTTTTTTATTTTTTTGGGTCTTGTGGTATTGGGAACTGAACCTGGGGATCACACATCAGGTCCCTTTTATTTATTTCAAAATAGTTCATTTTTTAAAAAGCTGTGAACTGAAATATTAAAAACTCAATTAAAAATTTAATATTTTTGATAGATTCTTTAAAATATATTACTCATTTGGGTTTGCCAAATTAATTTCTATATTAAAAATTAGTAGTTTTGATAAATGTAGCTAGCTGTACAAGCTTTAATCTCTGACTTCTGTGTACTTCTTAATTTGTTTTTCTTATCACATTAAACATGAAAGTATCTCAAATCATGTTCTTTCAAGTAAAAATACATAAATATCTAAAACTAGTGCCTTCTAAAAACCCGTAATAGTTTTTATTAGCATATATTAATTATACCTAATAATATTTTTATTATGACATTTTCACATATGTATATCATGTACATTGCTCACGTTCATCCTTATGACCCTCTCTTGTCCCTTCTCCCCAGCTAGACCTCTTTCTGTTTTCATGACTTTTGTTTTGGCAAATCAGTGAATTTAACTAGTGTCATTTACAGGAGCAATGGTGACTTACCAGTGGCTACACCTTGAAGAAACCTTCCTCTTTGCTGTAGCAACCATTAACTGTTTATACATTCTCAGGGAGGGGTGGGGTCTTGTGAACCCCTCCTCCTTGGCAACGCCCCTCCCCCCTGTATTTGGAATGTTACACACCCAATCTTATGCAGGTCTCCATGTAACCACAGTCTCTGAGAATTCAGAAGTGCCAGGGTTATGTTGTGCCTGGAACACAGTGCTATCCAGCATTCCAACCCACCCACCAGCTTTTAGCATACCAGTTTTGGGCTGAGCACTCAGCAGTCACTTGGTCTCAGCACTTTGATGTGTTATAAGTTCCTGTAGTTACCTCCTCACTATGGAAAGAAGCTGCTTTGACCAGACTGGAGGGCAGCACTAATCTGAGGATGTAATCATAGTCCTGCTGTCACTTTGTTGATGCTGGTGCCCTTTACTTCTTATTTAATTCATGAGTGTCAAAAGACTTCCTTTCTGTCCTTCCAGAGATCTTTGGCATTAGAGCTCCAACTTCTTTTTCCACATCTATATCCTATGTCTACATAGTTGCTACATCCTGAACTTGCCTCTTCCAGCCTCTGCTGTTCTCCCTCTGTTGTTACCATTTGAAACATTGCATTCCAGTCCAGCCACCTAAAAACCAGAGACTTTGTGTTGTTGTTATATTCACCAATGAAATGACTGCCTGTATGTAGCTAGAGTTTTCCTGCCTGGCCCAAAGTCAGGACAAATCTCTCTCATCTGCCAGTCCCACAGCCACTCAGACCCAACCAACTAAACACAGACTTACATTGCTTACAAACTGTATGGCCATGGCAGGCTTCTTGCTAACTATTCTTATATCTTAAATCAACCCATTTCTATTAATTTATAAGTTGCCATATGGCTCGTGGCTCACAGGTACCTTACATCTTGCTTTTTATGGCAGGGGCTGGCAGCGTCTCTCCTCCTCTGCCTTCCACTTCCCACAATTCTCTTCTCTGCTAGTCCCACCTATACTTCCTGCCTGGCTCCTGGCCAGTCAGTGTTTTATTTATCAATCATTGACAGCACCTGTACACTCTTGGAAATTTCTCTGATTTCTCTGAAATCTATGCCCATCCTGAGGCATCACTCTCCTTCAACCTGACCTCTTACTTTCACTGCTGACAGAACTGTTATGGCCATTTCTGGAATAATGCAACAGCACAGACCTAAAAAGGCAGAATAATTCCTTTCCATCCCATTCTCTCGTCCTTAGAGTAGATCAGATGACATGAGGTGCAATCTGATTTATAAAGGAACTATTATTCATTTACTTCAGGCACACTGAGCTCAGATGCCTGAGAGTGCAAGGACAAAGATCTTCTTGTAAGGAGTAGCTTGAGGAAGTCTCAGCACACTGGGGCTTGTGTTCCCTAGGACAGGTGTTGAGAAACAAATCATTTAAAGAAGTGCTCTGGTCAGAAGAAGGGGTCAAGGTGTTTAGTGGCTGAACTCTGCAGTGTATGTGTGCCTCCTTCACCAGAGCATAAACTACAAATGAGGTATGACTAACATACTTTATGAACTTGGGAGGATAGGTCAATGAGTGATGACTGTTTAAAGTGAGTAGTGTAGGAATGGACAGATGTTAAGTAGACCTGTAGAGGAAGTAAACCTCTTGATCCTTTAGTGATAGCATTCTCAGTAGACTAGTTGAGAGTTCAGGAACTTTTCTGTCAGGTTATTACCTCTGTTCCCTTTGTCCTAGTTGGAATCCAAGCACCCATGACACTCAGGTGCTTTTTGTCAATCCTTGACAGTGGACTGAAATTTAATGATGATTTTCTGTGGGATCAAGAAGATCTGTGCTGTTTAGTTTTCCACTTGAAGGAATATAACTCTGTCTTACCTTTTTTAGAAAGTGCATCGAACAATTCTTGGATCTTTAACAAGAAACAATATAGACTTTAATTCAACCTCATAAAAATCAAAGACCTTTGTGTTTTTCTTATATTCATCAGTGAAATGACTACCTCTATACTTACTGTATGAAAAGTTGGTATCAAATGACCTTGATAAAAGAAAAAAATATACTCTAGAAAAATATACTCTAATCACAAACCAATGTGCCCTTTTGCAAACCTGTTTAGGTACAAGCTTCCCTATAGTACTTGCTGTAACAAACATGACTGTTTTCCATTCATTAAAAACTAATAAATGAAAATAATTTGACCTAAACTCATTGAGTGGTACAGTGCTCTCTCATGAGTAGGACTTGTCTGACTTCATTTAACTTTCCTACAGTATCTGAAAAGAAAAACTGATTTAACCTGTATATTTCCTATTGCTTGGACTATCTTTTAGGGTGTTCGTTTACTTATAAAGCAACTAATTGGTTCTACTGTATTTTTTTGTTTTTGGTTCCACAAATAACATGGGTTTCATTGTTACATTTTCATAATACACGTGCCAGGTACATCACTCATGTTCATATTCCTCCATTACCTTCTCTTGCTCCATCCTCCTCTCCCTATTAGTCTTCCCAAGGAGCTCCCCATCTGTTTTCATGTCTTATTTTTAATCCTGATTTCACATATGAGAGAAAAAAATGTGTAATATTTGCCTATTCCTCTGTCCATGTCTTGTTTCTTATTTTGCTTAATGTGATCTTATCCATTTCTGTCCATTTTTCTGTAAAGAGATTTTGTTTCGCTTCAGTACTGGGTATCAAACCCAGAGCCTTGCACATGCTAGGCAAGCACTCTACCACTGTGCTATATAGCCCAAGCCTTGATGTTTATCTTATCAGGAAAACAGCCATATCCTGGACTGATTGTTTTTAGAGGTAGACCTTGAGACCAGTTTTACTAAGGTGATGACCGTTTGTCAGGTGAAAACCAGGGTTGGTACTCTGAGCAGGAAAGCCAAAGCACAGTAGAAACAACCTCTGTGATATTTCCCAATAGTGTAATACATGTATGTGTCTGCTATGACACAACTTATGTGAGTTGTGTGTAAGTCTACATCCCAAATGGCTGCACTTTGCTAACATTAATCATTACCTCTGGCTTCTTGGAGCACTTGCTACTCAATAAATACCTTTGTTCTAGAGCTCAATGATGATTTTCATTTTAAATCCGACATTTTAAGTTTCATTTTAAAACCAACAACAAAGGTTCTATCTATTTACATAAACTATATGTGCTTTAAAGAAAAGATCTGTATGCCCGCTATGGTGGTGTGTGCCTGTAATCTCAGCGTCGCCTGCAGTTAAGGCTGGGGCTACATGAGATCCCCACCATGGAGGTGGAGGTGAGAATGGCATAGCCAAATCTGCATGGAAATAACCAGAAAAAAGGCTGAGGTTTGATGGTAAAATAGTGATTCTTAGGTTGGTAAATAGCCAGCAGCTATCAGGATCCAGAGACCACCCCGGCCAGCACCACTCCTTCTCTTTCCAGAATTATCCAGATGGTACTTTCAAACTATACATGTTCTTCCATCACTACCGTGGTGTTTTTCTAAAAAATACTTAATGAAATGTAATACTATTTAGTAGAAAGACCAGGAATATGGAATTCAGGAACTACATTTGATTTGCAGCTTATGGCCTAAGGCAGAGCCACTTTGTTCTGTTTTTTTCCCCCATCTTTAATTATGTCCTTCATATGACCTCTAGGTAGCATTTGCTGTCATGTGGAGTTATCACCTTCTCTTCTCTGGTATCACTGAGTGCTGAGAACTAGAGGGCGAGGGACTCCTTTCTGACTGCTCCACCTCTCTTCTTGGTATCTAAGACAGTATTTTACACATTACAGAGTGTGTCATACTTTCTGTTGTGATAAAACACACTGATGAAGGCCACTTCCAGGAGAAAGGGTTTCCAAGATACACAGTTCATCATTGCAGAGCGATTGCAGAGACAAGAACATGAGACAGACGATCACATTGCATCCTTTTCCAGAGCAGAGAGGGACAGATGAATGATGCATGATCATTTCAGTTTGTTTTCACCTAAACAATCCACAATGGGCAGGTCTCCTCACTTCACTTGATGTTATCCTGACAATCCTTTGTAGACACACCCACAGGCTACCCTAATCTACACAGTCCCTCCTAGAGACTTTTCAGGTGATTATGTAAAGCTGACAGTGAAAATTAACCACAATAAAACTCAACATATTGCCATAGAATTAACATGGGATTCTTTGGAAAATTAATCTAGACTTATTTGTAGATACTCTTTTATGAAAAAACCTGGGCTATCTTTTTTTCATTTTAGTGCTTAAATCAACTCAACTGTAAATACAAGGTTCATATAATCTCTGGCTACCCTAAGAAATGGTGAATACCCATGTTTGTGTTACATTTGTGGTTCGTGATAATTGTGTTAGGAAATAAACCTGTAAGAGAGTTGGGCCAAGGTAAAGGCATTTGAGTAGGTTTCATTGTGGGTGGTGGAGAAGTGCTAAGGAGTTTCAATTGAGGAAAGATCAGGTCATTCAAGTTATAGTATGATCTACCTAGATGAGTATTAATGATGAATTTAAAAGAAAAAGAATCAAAGGAACATGTTCATCTAGGCTACCCACCTGTGACTTCAGTATTAAATACATTACTATTTAATCACCCTGGGAAGCTGTCTTGTTTCTTCTGTAAAGGACAGAGCACAGGAGGGATTGTGGATTCAAAGACAAACTCAATGTATTCTTGTCCTGAATTGTTTGTTATAAAGTCAGTGCATACTTTGGATAAAAGTTAAGTTCCAGGCCTTTCATCATAATTATTGGCAGGCTATTCAGATTTAAAGGAGGATACGCCTTTAATCCTAGCACTAGGGAGGCAGAAGCAAGCAGATCTCTGTGAGTTCAAGGCCAGCCTTGTCTACATAGTGAGTTCCAGGACAGCCAGGGCTATGTAAAGAGGTCCTGTCTACAGATCCTGGAAAATCCTTCTTACACCCCTGGTGAAAGCCATTTTTCTTTCCCAGTTCTGCTTTTCTGTTTCCATCTAGTTACTTATGAACACACACTTTACGAGTAGCCCAATCAGTGTCCTTCCCTGCTGTCCATGCTGCTCTTCTCACAATTTCCTTGATGGCACCTTTCTGAAACA